CACACCCAACTGACCAACAGGGCAAGGCTTCATTCCTATTTCAGGAATGTTCACAAGGGATATTCAGGAGACATGAATGTTAAGGAGCTCAGTTACAGGTCAGCCCAGGCAGCCTACTTTCCCTCGTGCAGCAAAGGTTGGCTAGGGACCATTACAGAGAGATACAAAAGCATTGAGGGATATCCGTGCCAAGATCCTGAAGACAGGCAAAGTGCCCTGAGAATTAGGCTCAATATCAGAGGGCCTTGCGTTGCTAGGGGAGGGGCTGAAGTTAGTCATTCCAAAGTTTTTGGAAGAAAGACCAGCTGAGAGTAGGCTCTTTTTGTTTTAGTTATCCTTTCCAAAGCTCACCTCTTGCTGGCAGGTGAGGTCATCAGCTTTGCTTGAGCTGATCATACTCTTTTCTTTGTCATTAGGCCTATCAGTAGAGGGGAAAGGATCCACGATGATACTGCACCAGACCCGAGGCCCAAACTGCTGGCCCTTGTGAGACAGACGCCAATGGGAAGTATATGTTCCCTCCAGGGTTGGGGCGATGAACTCCACAGACACAACTCCCACATGGCCAGCCTTGACACAGGGAACCAAGACATCCTTTTCTGTAGAGGCCAAAGTCAAGTTTCCCCACATGAACTTGAGCTGAAAAGCAGTTAGAGAAAGACTGTAAGCTGAGAACTCTACCATTTCAAATCACTTCATTTTCCGATTCTGGGGAAAAAATACCTTTGTGTCTGCACTCCACTTTACGTTTCCTGTATTTTTCATTCTCCAGTGTTTGATAAACTTGGTTCCTGGCTGAAGATGAGTCCCATCAGGCAAATTCTCATCCACAAATGCTGCACTGAGGGTTGGCATCACTGGGGTACAGGGCTGCAAAGGGAGTCTGAACAGAAATTCAGGTATTTAGTCACTAGCTGTTGGGTGGGATGGCTTCTGAGTACCCATTACTATGTTCTACCAGGTTGACCATGACTTTTGAGGATATATTAATGTATCTGCCTTAAAAATAAAACAAAGCAAAAAACCATCAGAGAACAGATACGACTCTTGAACCAAAAAGCTAGGGGCAGGTTAACTAAGAGGATCCATAAATTAAAATACATAGTTGGACTTCTAAAACATTTGCTTCTAGTGCTTCAAATCTAGACTGCCTCCAAGGAATAGGGGTTATGCCAACCTACTTTTGAACTATACTATGTCTGCCTTTCTGAAGAAAGCAATAGAGCAAGTGACAAAAATCACCACCAAATTCTTTAAGAAAACAAAGATTAGAGAATGGGCTTGGGGGTTAGGGACTGCCAGTAAGAAAGACAGAAATTGGTTGAGTTATAGAGAGCTGTATCTACAGTCCCTGGCTTCCACCTTGGCCCAGGCTTACATCAAGGTGTTAGACTGCAGTAGGCTCTCTGGTCGGCCCAAAGGAGACTTAGGGCTCTGAAGTCCATGGATTGAATTCCAGAGATGAATCTTTCTATGGAGTTTAAGCTGCTTCTTAAGTTCCTTGACCTCTGCTTTACGCTGTTTCTTCTCAGCTCGAAGTCTTTGCTTTTCTGCTTTAAGAAAGTTCTTGTCAACCTGTTTCTGGAGCCTGTGGAATGGTAAATGAAAGTTTTAAAAAAAACAAATGTCACAAATAAATCTTGAGGCTATCTTTTTTTGAGATAGTTTACATATAAATCATTCATTTAAAATGAATAATTTGATGCATTTTGATTGATACGTATATTTATGAAATGTTAGAATCAAGGTACAAAACATTTTCATCACCCAGAAGTTTCCCTTTGAAATATTGAGGCTATGCTATTTTAAGGCACATGCAGCCTCCACCAATGTCAACTTCTAGTCCAGTTTCTTCTTTCTGTAGTTCTGATTTCCATGTCATCAGCTTTGGATAACTGCCCACATCATTATCTATCAACTAGAAATGAGCAGGAACTAAAGAGACTTATTTGTAATTCTGTAATTCATAAACTGGGTGACAACCAAACAACTTATCAGAAAACACGTATCTCAGGTATGAGTGGTTTTCTACCTGGCTTGTTCCAGAGCAGCAGGAAGACGAGGAGTAGAGAACTTTGAGTGAGAGAATGTTTCAGAGGAACCCACAACAGGTCTCCGCAACTTCAGCAGGACATGGTTAGAGTCATGGGCATATGGGCCTGATTCACAATCTTCGCAGATATTGTACGATGAGCACAGGCTGTGGGGAAAGAATGGCATAATGGGAAGTACGTGTAGCAGGGGACTCTGAGCACGGACCTCCATATCTGCTTACACCAGCTAAGTATGAGCATGTTACCCAATCACGCCATGTCTCAACTATCCTCAGTAACATGAGGACACTCAATCTACTGGGCAGTTGGAAGTCATGACACATTTTTGCTTGAAAACCAGAAAAAATACGTCATGACTTTTCCTTTCAAAGGACAATCTATAGGAGGAAGCAAGATATGAAAATATTTGGAACAGGGAAACAGCCCTGGATGATCTAACTTTGTTTTAATGAACAGAATTTTGTATGGCTCTTTTGCTCCAAAATGATCTGAACACTTACCTTCTTCGATTGGGCAGAGTCACATATTTCCAATTCAGAGAGCCATGTCCAATATAGAGTGTGCCTAGAATGCCAGGCAGGCCACTGCTCTAAGGTCCATCAGCAGCTCTTCAGTTCCCAGTTCCTGCTTACCTGCATTGGTAGCGCACACCAATGATCCTCCTTTGGCAGCTGCTGCAAGCGATATGCCAGTTGAACTGGTTTTCTGGCAAGAACAGTGTTTCCTCTGAAATAGGCATTGAGACGTCTGAGGGACAGGAACCCAAGGAAGGGTTCTGGAGGACAAGCTTCTCATGTAATTTCTGTTCAAGCTTTTCAACCGTTTCTTTAACCACTTGCTCTCGGAACTAGAATACAGAGCAGAAGGTGGGGGGAAACTCTCAGTTCTAATACTGGAAAAAGGAGTAAAGATATTAAACAGATCTGAAACTTCCTAACATGACAACAGCTAATAGGTAAGCAAAAGGACAAAAACTTAAAAGATCAATTTCTTTGATAGCTACAGTTCAAAGGAAATACTAAGCAATCCTTTTGATGAGCACATTCCTAATATACCTTCTCAAGCATACTGATTTGTCTCTCTCCCTTACATCTTTACAATTAAATTACCCCTTTCTCTGGCCCCTCATTGCAAATGTTAGGGATTTCTTAACCAGAACCAGTAGGGTTTGGAAATTTTTAGTTACCAGTCTTCATTCACCTGCACCAACACAGCTGCAAAAACCCAAGCAAGAAAGAACACTCACCGTCTCCAGGTAGCTTGTGAACCAGTCTGGGGGCTTGTCCTCAGGCTGGTCTGTATCACATGGGGCAGGTGGAAACTGCTGCAAGAAAACACTCTCTCAGATGTTGGAGGCTGCTTTTTCTAGTTTTAAAATTATTTTACTGAACTGTATGATTTTGGGGGTTGCTTTTGTCAAATAATTTAAACATATGGTTCTTTTTTAAAAGCCAGAGTAGGAAATCGAGATGGAAAAAAAATGTGCAAAATGATGTAAAAATAAACTTTTGTTAATAATTAAAAAAAAGAAAAGCCAGAGTAGGAAAGGGTATAAAGGACAATGAAATATCCGTCTCCTTACTGAATTCCTTTTCCAGAAGTAACCACTGTGCGAGTTTCAAAAGTCAGAAGTAAAGAGAGTCATGATAACTCCCAAGTTTTTGATGACTAGGTCAAATCTTAAATCAAAGAGAGTGAAGTACAAGGTTGGAAAAAAGTGTGGAGAGGGGCCCACTCCTTTCATACCTGTGCTGCAGGTTCCTCTGGGGTCTTCATATCTGATCCTAAGACTCTCACCAGGGAAGAATAATGGGCAAGTGTCTTCTTCCCTGTCCTCAAAACTGGCCGTTTTTCTGCTACAACTGGGGGTGGGGCTTCATCAACAACATGGTAACCTTCATGGACTTGCATTTGCAGTTGGTTTCCTTGTTTAACCGCCATCTGAGAACACAGATTAGTAAATAAAAACATACTTTATGATTTGCCTTTCCTAAAAAGAATTTCACCTAAACATGAATGTGTGAATTATGTTGGAAAATATCAAGATATGTGTTTGTTTTGTTAAATCGAATGACACCATATGAATACTCAGCCTGCTAGGAATGGTCTTGTTATTAAAAACACAATAGTAGGTTTTATTTTTTGCCCCTCTAAATTATTATTATAATTTTTAAAGATTGATTTATTTATGCATACAGAACAGGTCAGAAGTACAGAGGCAGTAAAAGGATTCACTAGAGACAAAGTGGGGAGCAGAACAGGCAGATCGACAAAGTACACTGCTGAGGGGAGCAGCGGGTAGACAGGAGAGGTCTCCTGTGCCAGGTGGGTCACCTCCTGGCCAAGATTGAACTCGTGCAGTAGCAGCTGAGACTAGCTTCCTAATACTGCACTTTAACCCACTGTACCACCAAAGAGGGCCTACTCTTTCTTTTTTAAATTGGTTTACATCCTTGTTAATATTTTGACAGCACAGAATTTCTTCCCTTGGTGTGGTCACGCAAGGTCGTTTTTTCTTTTTAAAATATTTATTTATGCATACAAGAATTCGGGCATAGGCTAGAGGTTCATCAGAGAGAGTGGGGGGCAAAACACGCAGATCTATTGATCTAAGGGGAGCAGTGGGCGGGTCAGGAGAGGTCTGCTGCGCCATGTGGGTCACCTCCCTGGTTGGGGATTAAACTCATGCAACAGTGGCTGCCTCTAGCTTCACAGTGCTGTGCTTTAGCCCACTGCGCCACAAGTGAGGACTCAGCAAAATTTTTCTTAAATATCTTAGGCCTGCAGGACATAGTTTCTGTAATAACTATTCAACTCTATCACTGAAGATAAAGCAGTCACAAACAATACCTAAGATAATGGGTCTGACTATATTCTAATATAGTCAGAAATATATGAGTCCATTGCCTACCATTTGTTGACTAGCCGAGACTATATACCACCAACAAGCTTTTTGTAAAATGTCCAGTAGAGTCTATGGATAAAGCTGCTCAAGAAATAATTATAATGAAATGTGTGAAATATAAATATGGGGTCTTAGGTACTACATAACAATACAGTGGCAGAATTGAACAGTCACGACAGAACTATGCCCTGCAAGCCTAAAATATTTATTTTGTGGTCCATTAAGAAAAATTTTGCTGAGCCCTCCCTTGTGGTACAGTGATTCTATATAATACAGTATTATCTAGTTCTATACATTTAAACAAGTGTATCAAAAATCTTCCTTCCTGAAGCAAGACAAGTTTATATAGTTTCCTGAATGCCACGCTGTCTTACTGAGTAGATAAACTAGAAATGGCTGTGGGGAAGATCTTACAGGACTTTTTTAGTAACATCACTATAGTTTCTGAGAATAGGGAAAGGAAGGTCAGGACAAACTGGACAATGGTAAAGGGATGTGAGATTACAGTGTGTTAAAAAAGCTTAGAGGTGGCCCTCCCTGGTGGCGCAGTGGGTTAAAGCACAGCACTGAGAATCTAAAGCCGCTTCCACATGAGTTCGATTCCCGCCTGCCCCGGAGGTGACCACATGGTGTGGCAGACCTCTCCTGACCCACCCGCTGCTCCCCTCAGCAGTGTACTTCGTCGATCTGCCTGTTCTGCTCCCCACTCTGTCTCTGGTGAAGCCTCTCACCGCCCCTGAGCCTCTGGCCTGTACCCCAGTTCTGTATGCACAAATAAATAAATCTTAAAAAAAAAAAAATTTAAAAAAAAGCTTAGAGGGAGAGGTAGGTGGATAAAATGGATCTATGGGAGAATGATGGATAAAAATCAGACTTTTGGTGGTGATGTAGTGCAGACTTGTTGATTAATGCAATGCACCTGAAACTTATGTTATTAAACAATATTACTTCATTTTAAAAAACAGTAAAGGAAACAGGAAGACTAGATGAAACTTGGGGGAAACTATGGAAAGTAAATTACTTTTCAACTAAGAAAAACCAACAGAGGGCCAAACTGTTCAAGTCCAAGAAACAGGCTGGAAATTAAGAATTTCTGACAAAACCAGGGAGTTATTCAAATAAGGGGCACCCAGAAAAGCAACTTTGACCAGAAATAGAAAAGGATAGCTCTAGCTCCCAATTAAAAAGAAAAATCTTGCCTCTTCTTTCCTATACTCAACAAGATTATGGAAAGATAGCTCAATCTTGGAATAAAGTTCTTATGGGATGTGAGTATACAACACATACTCAACAAATTAAAAAAAAAAAAAAAGTTAATCAGGAAAGTGGTCATGAAGGGACAACGTGGCCTCAAGCAATGCTCTACTGTATCATGACGAAAGATTATAAAGGGGCCTCCTTGGTGGCTCCCGGGGTTAAGTCTCAGCACTATGAATGTGTCAGCAGCCACTGCAGCATGACTTTGATCCCTGGCTAGGGAGCTAATCCACATGGCCCCAGTGGATGGCTTCTGTCTTGTCCCCTGCTTCCTTCAGCAGTGTATTTCACAGTAGATCCAACTGTTTTATTCCCCGCTCCTCCTGGGGCCTCTGGTCCACACCCTAGCTTTTGTATACATAAATAAAAAAAAATATGGGCCCTCCCTGGTGTTGCAATGGTTGGGATGCAGCACTGCAAGTGAGCCGCAGCCGCTTCAGTGACAGTTCAATCCTCCGCCCCGGAGGTGACCCACATGGCGCAGCAGGCCTCTCCTGTCATGTCCTCTGCTCCCCTCAGCAATGTACTTCATTCATCTGCCTGTTCTCTTCCCCGCTCTGTCTCTGGTGAATCCTCTCACTGCCCCTGCACCTCTGGCCTGTACTCCAGTTCTGTATGCATAAATAAATACATCTTTAGAAATAAATAAATAAAAATATTTTTAAAATTATGGCTTATACTTTATGTTCCTCCACCCCCCAGAATACTGTACATTCTACTAGGGGAAGACAAGGGGGGAAGTTGTGAAACAGTGTCTGGGGTCTAGATCTAGAGGATGTGGACTGAACCCTCTACTACTTTCAAGCTTTTGTGCCTTTAGAAAAGTTATTTAACCTCTCTCTGTCTGTTTCCTCATAGGTAATAAAGAAATGATAACAATATACCTAGTACATAGTACTCTTAGTCTGACAGTGTAACCGCTTGACAAAGACTTTAAAACAACATTCCAGAGAAATAATTGGGTTTTTAAATGCTAGATCAGAGGTGCCAAGACTAGCAATTAGATGGAATAACAGCTGGGGAAAAAAAATTATATTTGAAATTGGTTTCTGGTTCCTAAAAAATACAGTTTGCTGTATTTGTATTCACTAATTTCTCCCCATGGCTAATGGAATTCTGGCTCAAGTTTTAGTCAGTAAGTATTTTTAACAATTATTCAAAAATGAGGTGAAATAACCATTACCTTAAGTGCTTCTTCATACTCTCCTAAAAGGAGAAAAAAAAAACATGTACTGTATTTCTTCACCAATGCACAAAATTTTTTTTTAAGATTACTGTTTAGAATTCTTAGTTCACAATCCTTAGACACATTACTTACTACCTTTTTACTGGCAAAATCCCTTCTCATCTCATTCCCACCTTCTCTGCTACTTTAGCCTTGGAGTTACAAAATGTCAACCCAGCTCCCTCATACTGGGTTTAGTGAAGCTGAGGATACCAGGGAATTCAGGAACAGTGTTAATACTATCATTGCGGTTGGTTAAAATAAGCTCTTGGGGCTAGTCTGGGAACTTAATTTTCAAATGTAACATTGCTCCCATGCGAAAAGGTACTCTAAGCTCTGAATAATCAACCATTTTATAAATGGCAGCTGGAATACAACGTTTATAAACTGACATTAACATGTATGTATGTGTGTATATACATATATATACACATGCATGTGTCCACACACGTGTACACACACATATAAAAGTACACATACATACACATACCAACTCAGAGACAAATAAAATACCAGGAGAACAATTTATATGTGTTGAACTCAGAGACACATTATTTTTAGAAGATTTGCATTTTAAATATAAGGGAATGTCTCATTAAAATCATCCTGAGGGTCCATTCAAAGGTATCATCTTGGATACAAAAATTATTATAAAATAAAAATCCACTAAGTCATTAATGTCCATAGACAAGGATGTGCAATTATCACTTTATTGTATACCAAAGTCAACTACTCCTAAACAAATATTGTTGCAAGGCTTAAGTGGATGGAAATGGAAATGTTTATGCTCATAAGCTAACTAGATTTCCTCGGGGACTCACCTTGACTGTTGATGGAAACCTATAAAATGAAAAAAGGAACAATGAATTATAAACTTCTCATCAACTGAGACTAACAATACTAAACCTAAAAATGTTTCATGAGCTAGGTTACTTTAACAGTGACATCATTGGAACAATGTCACCTAGGTAATGAAATAATTACCATAGCAACAAAGACTTTATCTTTCGGTAGCTATAAAATTTTGACAGATGGGAGATACCGATTTGAAGATTTAAAAAGGATAGAAATGTAATACATCTTAGTGGTCAAAGTCATAGTATTACCTTAAAAATCGTTATATTTTTATGAGACTGATGTGCTGCCTACTGCGCTAAGAAGGCACTTAAAAAATCGTTATATTTTTATAATAATTAAACTGAATGTAAATTGTATATATTGCTATTTACTTCCATAGTTAATTTTACTTTTGACCTTAAAGGCATTCTATGCTTTGAACAATTGGGATTAGCTTGTTAAAAAGAGGAACATCAATATTAGCCTGTTTAAAAATAAAATTTAAAACCACAGTGAGATATCACCTCATACCAGTTGGAATGACACGTCTTAAAACAATTAGCAACAACAAATGTTGGAGAGGATGTGGAGAAAAAGGAAGTCTCCTGCACTGCTGGTGGGAATGCAAATTAGTACATGGAAAACTAGAGGTTTCTCAAACTACTAAAAATGGAGCTCCCATATGATCCAGTAATCCCACTCCTAGGTATCTACCCCAAAGACTCAAAAACACTGATTCAAAGACACCTGCACTCCCATGTTTACTGCTGCTTTATTCACAACAGGAAAGATATGGAATCAACCCAAATGCCCAAAAGTAGATTACTGGATTAAAAAAACATGGTACCTATACACATTGGAATATTACTCAGCAATCAAAAAAGATAAACTCATGCTTTTTGCAGCAACATGGATGGAGCTGGAAGGGATTATGCTTAGTGAAATAAGCTAGAATGAAAAAGAAAAATACCAGATGGTTTCACTCATAGCAGGAGCATAAAGGACCGGGGGGGGAGAAATAAAAGTAATAATGAACAACTATATACCAGAGATATTTTACAGGGGTGAAGTGGGGAATGGGATCAAAAATAAGGGTGGGGGGAGTGCACTGGACTATGGTGATGGCACATAGGTGATTTGGTAAAGGGAAGCCCACGGTGATTACGAATGAGATGGAAAAAAGGCAGAGAATGATGTAAAAAGAAGCTATTAAAAAAATTTTTGTGTGTTTTATGTATCTGATGTAAAATTCTGTTAAAATATATGATCTTTCAATTTTGACTTTATAATTAGAAGTTTTAATTGATTTAAATATTGGGTGTGTTTGTGTCTGTAGATATCTGTATGTTTTCTTCTCCTTCATAATTAAAGTGAAAGTGTACTTCTTGAGGGGAAGATACATTGTTTTAATGTTCGCAGTTTGAATTTGTCAACTAAAGGGGAGCCAAATCAAAAGCCCATTAGACATTTCTTCTACCAAAAAAAATCTCAAAATGTGAACAATCAACTTAAGTTTCTCAGTCTTAATTCACTCATCTCTTGATTTATCATATTTTCAATCTGACAGATAATTTCAGGTTTTAGACTTTAGATTCCAGTCTTTGGTACACCCAACTCTAGCCATCCCTTGAGCAAAAAAGTGAAAACTTTTTAAAATTTGAAACCAATAGGCTCTGTAAGATAGTATTATTCACATATCATGTTTTCTTATAAAAACTATCTCCTAGATGTAATGTTGTGTAATACCTATCAACAACAAAATACATGAAGCAATTAATTGTCTCAATTCAAACTTATTAAACAAAAAATGACTTCCATGTTAGCTCTGGGCATTGCCTAAAACACCACAATTAATGGGGCCACTACCAGTTTTCACAAAACGAGGTGATGCCCTAGCAGCTCCCACTTCCCTGGCTAAGCCTGTAGCTCATTATGAGCGGGGTTCAGCTTTTCCAGTATGATGAACTAGTTGTGAATAAAAAAGAACTGTATTGCTTAATCATATGCCTGCCTTTGTTTCAGGTACATTAAGAGGAAGCATAATGTAATAGTTAGGAGTCTGGGGTCTAGAAACAGGCTGTGAATTGAACCCCCATGTTACTACGTGTAAGCTTTTGTATCTTTAGGAAAGTTACTTAACTTCTCTTTGTCTCACTTTCCTCACAGGTAATAGCAAGATGATAATAATGTATCTAGTACATAGTACTGTTAGTCTGATACAGGTTTGCCATTATTACTTTCATTATTATAAATTAAATGGCAGTATGTGCTATAGTTGAACTTAAGGGTAGCGTAACTTAGAGTTTCCTCTTCAATGTTGTGTTCTATTTCTCAACTCCATCTCAGTTGCCACAAGATTAGAATAATGCAATCACCAAATACATTTAAACCACCAACAAAAGAGATAAACACTATTCTGATTTTTGAGTCCCCCCCCCCCCATCGTTCCTCAGAAATAAGACCCCTATTTTGGATATCTGGCAATGGATACTATAATATACTTTACCTCTTCATTTTCCTCATCCAGGTATTTTATCTGAATAGTGTTCAGATCAAATGAAACTTTTACCTGTAAATGAAATGTATATATTCTATGATCAAAATATCACATGGGAGATTGTAACAGTAACTCATATATCATAAAAGGATGAATACATTTTGCAACATAAAAATCAAACTTTTCACATGGGGAAAAACATGAACAAAGTCAAAAGACAAAACCAATACACTGGGAATATTATTTGCAACTCAAAACAAAGGATCAATATTGCAAAATGCAAAAAGCAGCTGCAAAACTACTAAGTGAACCTCCACTGAAAAATGGGCAAAATTTACAGTTAACTAATAAAAGCAGAAGTCAGCACGCCCAACAAATACATGAAACGATGTTCAACTGTAATGCAGTCATATTATGCAATGTGAAGCAATGAGATGGCATCTCCACAAAATGACTAAAAAATCGTAAAGCTGAACAATCTTATGTCATCAAAAATTCAGGCTACTGTCATACATTTCTGTGAAGTATTACAATTATTCTGAAAACCTTGTACTATCTATTAAAATTTTAAATCACATGTCTTATGACTTCTTAATTTCACTTTTGGAGACTTTATCCTACAGAAAAGTTCAACAGTTATAATCACAAAGAGGTATCTCCTGTAGTTTATTTTATAGTTGGAGAAAGGAAAAAGTACAAACAATTTTTAATTAGGGATGATTAATTGATAGCATAATAATACCAATAATAGTGGGGGCTACCTACAGTTTTCAAAAAGAATAAGCCTTGAGCCTTATCTATTCATTGAGCCTTATCTATTCATTGAGAACTGTCCGTAATATATATAAGAAATTATAATATCATAGAACAATACAACATAACATGCCATTTTGCTGTTGGGTTAAAAAAAAGCATGCTGCAGATGCTTACAGTATGATCTTAAAATGATATCTGTATGGATGTGGGAAATGTGGCTGAGTTCTCACGTGGCTATTAACACCTATTACCCTTATGAGTAGGGAGTAATCAATGAAAGAGTGAAAGGATTTTTTTTAAACATACATTGGGGTAGTTTCACTTCTTTTATGGGCATGTATTACACATGTAGAGTTAAAAATTCATGATATAGAGAAAAAGCATGCAGTCAGCTCATTTAACTACTAGAAAACAAGAGATAACTGTGTTTGATTTTCCAGGTCACTTGAGAAACAAGATTCAGCTTTCAGATAACCACCTGTCTATGTCAGTATAAAGATGTATTTGCTAGGAGAAAGAGAACTAGATCAGATCATCTTTTGAGGTCTCTCACTTTTTAGTTGCTATCACACATAACCAGGTAAAAGAAGGTTTTTGCCGAAAGGTTTGTCAGAGAAACAGTTATACTAGGAAGTGTAAATATTCACCACTGCAAACCAACCAAAACCAGAAGAGGACAAAGGGCAAACCAAGAGGAGAAAGAATTAACATGGACAAGACAGCTGGTGTCTAAGCACCTATGTGAGCTCTTTCTGCTCAACTCACATAGTCAGTCTCTGGCCTAGCAATAAAAGAAAGGGAGCTCTCGGGGCCCTCCCTGGTGGCGCAGCGGGTTAAAGCACAGCACTGAGAATCTAAAAGCCGCTTCCGCATGAGTTCGGTTCCCGCCTGCCCCGGAGGTGACCACATGGCGTGGCGGACCTCTCTTGACCCGCCCGCTGCTCCCCTCAGCAGTGTACTTCGTGGATCTGCCTGTTCTGCTCCCCACTCTGTCTCCGGTGAAGCCTCTCACCGCCCCTGAGCCTCTGGCCTGTACCCCAGTTCTGTATGCACAAATAAATAAATCTTAAAAAAAAAAAAAAAGAAAGGGAGCTCTCTCTTGCAAAACACAACTTACATCCTTGGTGGGTTCAAAACCAAAGTAAAAGATCTGCTCTCAGGGAAGAGAACATTTCCCTGGGGCCTGGTTGGGGTGACCCCCATACCAATTAATTGTAATAGGCTTTCTAAGTTCTATCTCACTTAAAAAATTATTTACCTTCCTTTCCAAATGTTTCAAAAGGAATTTTTCCTCTTAACTGAGGTATATCTTCTATGAACTTCTGTCAAAAATAATTTTTTCAAATAGCCAAATTGGTAAATATGACAGACTTTACAACTATGAAACCACACTGCTAAAAATAACTACCTTTGGAAAAACTATCTATGCTTAAAGAGTGAAGAAACAAAACAAATTAACACTCACCATTGCTTCAACATCAGCCCACGTTGTAATTTCTGGATCAGAAACCAGAAAGCTTTGAGTTTTATTTTTACAGTAACCTGTGGTTCCATGCTGTGGGGCTAGAACTGATTGGGTGGGTGAGATACAGTAACCTTTGGTCACATTTAGAGTAACCTGTGGTTCCATACTGTGGGGCTAGAGTTGAAAGGGTGGATAAGAGAGACAATATGTTAGGAAGGGTTCAATAAATTGCATAAACATTCATTCAACAAATATTTATGAAAACCTAATATAGGCTAGGTTTGAGGGGAACACAGCAGAGAAGACAATGTCCTTGCTCTTATGCTATTTATAAACTAGTGGACAGTTTAAAACAAGTCTCACCTTTAAACAAAACTGCTTTTCAGACAGACAGACAATAGTGGCAAAACAATGCCATAAAAATATACTTTAAGCATCAAATATTCTAAAAATTGTTAGGAACTTCCACATGGAAATAAACATTTGCTGAGAATATATCAATTCTGGCCACACCCATATAAATCACCTAACATTTGTAAAATTCTTAAGGATTTTATGGAATTTTCTAATGACTACCAAATTAAAGATACCCACTGAAAACCTGCTAGAGGCAGGATACCAAATTGAAAGTGTCATTCTGTATTTTTCTTGGAAAAGCAGCCTTTTCCTAAATTGAGCAATCCAGGTTCTCTATGAGATCATTGTAAAAAGTTAGAGGCCAGAACACTAGCCAAGAATCTATACTGCGTACTTTTTCCATTTATGGAGAATTTACATACAAAAAAGTGGAGTAATGAACACCTAACTTCCAAAGATCAAGTCAAGGCCACTTTCATTTCACCTATACCCTTGTTCCCCACAAACCCCCTCCACACCACAGAATGTAGTCAACTAATGCTTTAACCAAACTACAGCAATGTAATTTAAAAACTACTTACTTTGGGGAAATTTAAAGATCTATAAAAAGAAGAGGGATTAATCAGACCTATGGACTCATTGCTAGCTCCCACAATTATTATCAACCCAGGACTAATTTTGTCATGGCAAAACCCCATCTCTACAGGGTTTTTTTTAGAGATAGCCACCATATCATGCTCCTCTAAAAATAAAAACTTAAAATATTAAAGATTCTGTTTATCGATGAGTTCTTAGGCTGAACTGGTTTTTAAGATTTATGAAAGAATGTTTAAATGTAAACATAGGTCATAATGAAAAAGAACTTTTAAACATATTCATCAATAAATCTTTACTAAGCATTACAAAAAGCCAGACTCTCCAAGCATAGGAGATAGGAAATAAACAAAATATAGTTCCAGGAGGCACTAAGGATTGAGAAGAGCTGGGTTCCAGATCCAGTTCTGGCACATTAGCAGCCCATTAAGTCATACATTAAGTCACTTAACCCCTCAACTTCAGCTACTTAATCTGTAATAGGACTAATAAATAGCTCTACTTTATTAACCTTAATGTTACTAAAAGGATCAAACAAAAATGTGTGTGCAAGTTCTTTAAAAACATTACTTAAATATCAAAATTATAAATCAGTCTTTAGAACCTAAGTTGTTTTCCACACTATATTGCACTTCCCAGTGAAACAATATGACTAAGACTGTCTTAAGATTATTCCCCAACTTTTTTCACCTAGAGTTAAGCTCATCACCAAAAATAATACCAGTCTCTATCATCAACCCTACTCACATTGAGTTTTCACAGGGAATTGAATTCTTTAAGTCCTTACAATTAGGACAGAATCCCCCTCAACTTGCTAAAATTTTGACTAAAAAATGAGGGAAATGAAGTGATTCTATCAGACTGCCAGAAGCGGATATTCTGAAGCACACTGTCCTTTTCAACTTCTGAGAAACATACTTCTACATTTCCTAGAGTCCAGGGGGAAATTTTATCATCCTCCCTTTTTCTCAAATTACACAATTGAAAATTGGTTTAGATACTTTGGAGCTCATCCAGCTCAACCTCCGTTAAGGAGAAAACAGGAAGTGGAATTCCAGTTAAGCTGGACCATATCCAGGTCTTCATAAAGAACTGCCTATTTCTGGCTTACATGTGAAAACTCTTTCAGCAAGGGCGTTAAGTCCTGAACTTGTGGAAATAACAACGCTATGATTAGCCCCATCTGTCCTGGAGATTTAAAGCCAGCAAACTCAGGTAGACAGGTCCTAGGCCTTCAGCTATCATAACTAGCATTATTGTAAATTCATGACACTGACCTTTAATTGGCACAAGTCAGCTTTTCCTGTGTCGACCTTTTTCAGGCTATCGCAACTATCTTTAATGAAGCTGACCCGAGAAGCTGAGTTTTGATTATTTTCTCTACAAGAGGCCTGTACAAGCTATGTAGGCATTAGAACTTGTGACCTGAAAGCTGCTTGACAAAAAAGGAAAAACGATATCCTTTCCAATACCAGACGTCCCTCCCCAAGGGAACTAACTTCTTTATGGGGTTCTCAAAATGCGAAGAATGTGGGGACGGTGACTTGTGGGTAGTCATTTTTTTTTCTTTATGGTTTTATCCTAATCTCCCAGTTATCACCTCTCAGCAGTCCACGTCCCCAAGACAGTGTTACCATCCCTGAGGAAGAGACTTCGTTTTCTCTGCCTAGCCTCTTTTGTGCCGAGGAGTCTCGGCCTTCTATCATCAGAAACCGGGCGTTCTGAACCACAGACCCTCAGTCCCTCCGGCGGCATCCTCTCCTTTCGCCCCTCTGATCATGGACAGCTCTCTCATCAAGTCACAGAAAAGATCGGCTGCCCCCCCCCCCGACTCGGAAAAAGTCGCCCCTCTTCTTTTCAGGGCTTCTCCCGTGAACTTCCCTAAGCCCTCTTAGTGCGCCGTGACCTCAACCCAAGGTAAACACAGCTGTCCCTTACCAGTTTCCCGCCCCCGGGGGGCGCCTGCCGGAGGCCGGTGCAAGGACCGTCCGCTGCCAGATCTGCTGCTCTCCCTGCGGGGTGAATCTAACATGGCGGATAGAGACAGGCCCTAGTCCCGTTTCTCTAAGTTTCCGACAAAGTGATTGGCTTTCAGTACTTGTCCCTCAAAATTACCACCCTATTGATTGGTCGAAGATGAGTTGACAGGGGCGGGGCAGGAGCAGCCAGAACCGCACAACAATAACAAACACAGGGGGAGAGGGACGGAACCGTGAGTGCGCAGCCGCGCGCCGGGGCCGATTTCTCCTTCCCAGGTAAACTTGGCGCCCCCTGCGCTCCCCTCGGTCGCTGACTTGGGAAGACTACTTGCCTGAACTGGCGAGGCTGGATGGGAATTGTAGTCTTCCCAACACTTGTAAATTCCTTAGTCTAGTCTCCGCTCCCAAGATACGAAAACGTCACACACCAACCCATATCTGTTGACGTGCATAAGCACACACGGCTCTTCCATTTATCAGCGGGGTTGCCGTGAGAATCGTGCCCGCTTCCGGTGTCGGCAAGTCCACTCCATAAGACTACAGTATCCACGGCACACTGTGGCGGATGCCTTTCAGTCCGCAAAGCATGCTGGAAATCGTAGTTTCCCACGCACACAGCCTCTTTATTTACCTACACTGCAGACTTCCATTATGGCGGAAAGGGTGAGGGAACGGGGCCTCTACTTGCGACCGTTAAAGGCACTACCTTGCCCTCATATTCGGGTCTCGATGGCCATGCCGCCCCTAGTTCAGCTATCACTATGACGTCACAGGCCGCAACCGGACGTGAGAGCTGAAGGGGCGGGCACCTAGTGGGCGGCTCCGTGAGAATTCTTTCTCTTCCGTCTCTTTCTAATTACGTATGAGAGGACAGAATGGATGACCAATCGGAAGCTGCGAGAGTCCCTTGGCTCTCTCTACCCCGCCCTTGGGTAACGTGTTTTGATTTCATTTTCTGAGAGGCTGTCGCTCAGCGGCGTAAGGGTTTCCGTGGAGACAGAAAAGCGCGGGAGTTACAGAAAAATTGAAATTGCGACTGCGCGGCTTGATCACTCAGAGGCTTTATGAACCGAGCACTTTCTAGGGCAGTTTTTCAGAAAACTAGGCCCCTGGCTCCTGGAAGCCTAGACGATCTACTCCGGGTAAAGGTGAGAGAGCTCTGGGGCAGGGAGAGGGGCCCAAGTGGTGGGTAATCTGGGGGGGGGGCGGGGCAGCCTGACAGGAAGGGAGAGGGTCAGTGGGA